TTGTCACCTGACAAGTGGAACCAAGAAAGTTCACACTGAGACAGTTTAGAAAAAAGGAAAGTTCTTTATTTTACAGGTGCGGTCGTTTCCTGGACCCAGGGCTGTGACGGGAAGCAGAGCAAGAGGTAAGTCCAACGTTCCAGAGAGATTTGCTTGAAGATGAAATAATGAAGATTGTATTTTGTCTTGCAGGTTTTAACAGGCTTTGTTCACATGGTTCAGTCCAGAAAATCCAGTCTTCAGCAGAGTGACCCGTGGCCCAACACAGGTAGGAGGCACGGTGAGTGAGACTCCTCTTAATACTTCCCAGCAGTGCAGGTGGTGAACATGGTGATAATCCTTCTCCAACGGTGCGTGGTGACAAAAACAAAACTTGGTCCTGGACAAGAGCAGAGGCAAGATAAAATGCAAGAACTTTGTTGACTTAATTCTAAGAGCTTACTCATCTACCAAGTTGTGACGATGCATCAGCGTGGACCAAAGGTAGAGTGAGCCTTATAAAGGATCAGGGCTGAATCAGCAGAGCATGCTCACAGCTGTCATCAGTGAGGCAGAGGGAGCTCAGGACAAAACACCAATCACATCAATAAAGGTGTTACCTTTCAACATTCAAGTCAGTTTTGTTAAAAGACAGAGCTGTTATTATCTTAAGGGAATAGAAATGTTTGTGAAACCCTGGTTTGGTACGAGCCTGAAGGAGCGATCCACTTTAATCCAGGGAATAAGATTATGGAATAACATGGAAGATGAGGTTAAAAATGCCAGATCTTTGTGAAGAGAATGATAAAAACTAGTATTCTGAAGAAATATGGAGAAGTATAAGTGAACTCAGGCTAATTGTTGTTTGAGTTGGTGTCTTCATTTTTAAGCGTTTTACGTTGTTTTGATTTTTGTTGTATTTTACTTTTCTTTTGAACATATTTTGGGTATAAAAAGGGGCAGGTATAGTAAGATTTATTCTTCTTCTGTTGCCTTTCATTTTATTTGATTTTATTTCGATTGCATGTTTTTTTGTACTTTTTAATTTGTATTACAAATAAAATGAATAAAGTGAAGTGAAGGTGAGTTATTGGACTTTTTACAACACAAACAGGATCATTTACAGTAAAAACAGGTTGTAATTACATCCTCTTTACACTGAATATTACTTCTTTGGGACATAATATGAACCTAGTTCCTTGTAATTGCAGTGAGACTTTGCCATCTGTGCAGAAAACAACCTCCTCCAGTTGAGAAATGGCAATAGAGGCTTATTAAATTATAATTTTTGTCAAATCAACCTGTCACTAGGGGTGACCAGAGACCAGTGCAGAGCACACTAACCCTGACCTTCAGCTGTGTGTGTTCTGTTCTGTGTAGTKTGTGCATGTGTGTGTCTGAGAGCATCTGACATTCATTATGTATGGTGTATGTTTGCATTCCACTAACTGATGAGGATCTTCCACTTATTACACAGGAAGTGGTTTAACACAGCCCTCTACAGTCAACCCACACGATAAAAAAGAAACTGATTTCCAGATTATTTAGCAACACCTGACATGAAAAAAATGTCCAAAGTAGCTACAAATTACAACATGTAAGCTAACTCGTATCTCTTAAGAGGGTCTCAGTTTTAACCCTTTAAGTGCTGCACATTGCTTCTCCTCTCCAGTGAATCTATATCAAAGTAGAGCCTCTCCAGCAGTTTCATGTGATCAAAGGAACGATGAAAGAAAACCTTTTAGATCAGCTACGTGACTTAAAATATCTTTCTAAAACTGTAAACACAAAGTCTTCCTTCCTACCTCTCACACTCGTCACCCTGCTGCMCTTTGAGCAACGACAACACAAGTTAAACTGATGATGTCATTAGGCGGCACTTGTTGGAATGCAGCCTAAAACGCTGAATTGCTTTCAGGTTTCGCTCAATGACGACTTGGACTGAAACGAGCGTGAAGTCGACTGAAAGCTACGAGTCGCGTCCACTCTGCAGCTCTGACTCATTTTTAAATTCACAAACGGAAACTGAACTCTGCGTCACCTTCTTTTGCTGAACTGTGACGTTTTCCCTTTGAATTTTAACACATTCTGGATTTTAAAAATGGGATTTTTCTCATTTACATTTATACTTCAATGCTTATCTTGTGAAACAAAATCTCTGTATTTGTGGCTTTATGTCTTTCAAAGAGAAAAGATTCCAAATTAACTTTGCACTAAAGCAGAATTTTTTGATTTGTTTTGATTTGCCTTTTATATTATATGTATTTACATGTTATGTTCTCTATATATGGATACGGGGAGAATGATCTGGTAAAAAAAAATCTGTAAAACGTTTCATTTATCTGTAAGTATCCACTGAAAAAGCTGAATAAAAAGTAACGTGGAAAAAAACCCCAACAAAAAACAGATTTCTTTTATAGTAAATACAAAACAAAAATCCTTTTTTTTTAACTTACACATCAAGCCAGGAGAAGTAAAATGAAAGGATCATAGAAAACTTTAAAGTTTTCTAGCAAACTTTTTTTTATAAAACCAACAAAATCAACTTTCACAGGCCTGAAATGAATCCTACTTTATTTTTCAAACTATGTTGTTGATAGTTATTTTAAGGAGCATTTATTTGACTAAAATTCAATTTGAAGTATTTTCACACTAACAGTATTTTAATATGTGACCCATCACATCGAAATGAGGATTAAGTCCAAAAGTGGTATATGAAGAAATAGACAAATAGTGTTTTGACTAAAATGTTAAAAAAAATTGCATTTTGTCTAAATGTAATGAATTGATGCCTTATTAATAAATAATTTGAATTAACTGTGTGAAATATAATACTAAGAAATTTTTGAAGCATTTTTTTGAGCAGTAGCAACAAAAAAAAAAAACTTATTTTTAAGGGAAAAAAAAAAAGACTCAAAATTTTGAAATTTCCCCTGTGAGTTAGCAATGTTTGGGTTTCTTTCCAACTGGGAAATCTTAATATATAAAAAATACTTGAGGTTTCCTCTTTATAATGGACATCAAAAATTACTCAATAAATTTACATAAAATTAGGATTCAGACCAAAGAATAATGCATTAATGTAGCCAAGACAAATTAAGTCATATATATGGATTTAATTATGATATCAGAATGATCCAGGTGTCAAAATGTAGCTTTTAAAACCAGGAATATGAAAATGTAATTAGGTCATTTTGAGCAAATTTGACTTGATCCTCATTTTGATATGAAGGGTCACATATTTTGTGCAAATTTAGCAGCACGACGACTTAGTGGTCAGCACTGTTGCCTCACAGCAATCAGGTCCTGGGTTCAATTCCCAGTTCAGACCTGGGGTCTTTCTGGCTGGAGTTAATATGTTCTCCTCATCTTTGTGTGGATGTTTTCCGGCTCTGGTTTCCTTCCGTTCTAATAACATGACAGGCTGCCTTCAGGCCCAGGCAGACCTTAAAATCAGATCAGTTGGATTTGCCTGATTAAATAAAAGTTAAAAATGAAGATAAATGTGAGCCATCATATCGAAATGAGGATTAAGTCAAATTTGGTCAAAATGACCTAATTACATTTTCAGATTCTTGCCTTTAAAAGCTACATTTTGATACCTGGATCATTCTGATATCATCATTAAATCCATATATGACTTAATTTGTCTTGTTGGTTACAATAAATATCTGGTCTGAATCCTAATTTTGTCATTTTAATGAGGAATTTTTGATGTCCTTATAAAGAGGAAACCTCAAATTATATTTGAATATTGAGATTTCCCAGCTAAAAAGAAACAAAACTTTGCTAACTCAAAGGGAAAATCTTAAAATTTTAATGCGTTTTTCCTCAAAATCAGTTTTTTTGTTGCTACTGCTCAAAAAAGTGCTTTAAATTTTTGTTTTATATTTCAGACAGTTTATTCAAATGATACATTGATAAGGCATTTATTCATTATATTTTGACAAAATGTAATTTTGTTAACATTTTAGTCAAAACACTATATTTGCCCATTTCTCCTTATACCACCTTTGGACTTAATCCTCGTTTCGATGTGATGGGTCTCGAATATATTTATATAGACTTCCAACTGTAAAATACAATCCCACAGAACTGATTCTACTAAATCTCTCTGTAAAAATAAATAAAAATTAAAAACGAAAACATGTAGARCGAGTCAACACTGAGCAGGTTACATTAGATTGCAGCCTAGTTGTCAGTACGGTGTAAACACACCAAACCTTTTCTAAGTTTAGCACCTTGACACTATAGCACTGCTTATAAAATCACTTCCGTTGTAAATCTCACGAGTCCGTTAGTGATTTAATGTCACAAACTGCCTGATTAAAATGAATATATTTAAAATATACCTGAAATAGTTCCTCTCCTTATAATTTATTGCAGTTATGGTTGTGTTGTATGTGTGATAATGTGTGGGTCCACAGTAAGCAGGTTGTGGTTCATGCTTGTACGACTGGGGCGAGGATGAGGGGGGAGTGACAGAAGTTGCTGAGTTGGGTTTCATTTGTGAGTTGACACTTTTTCACAGCTCTTTTGTACTGAACCTGATTTCCTCTCTGCCTCTTCAGAGCTACATACCTGTCCATAGTTGTCTATGCCAGTCACTAATCTATTGAGATTGAGTAAATCAAAAGACGTCCTCAAAGACTGGCCAAACGTTGTGAGTCCGTTCGCTTGGAGATTCCTCAACTCTGTCATGAAAGTAGCATGGCTCTCTTTCCATCCAGCCTTTACAAACAAAACAAACACAAAACATGTTAATAACAACTCCACCTTTCTAAAMTGATCACAGTATTCTTCTTGAAAAGTTAAATAAATATGGCATAAGAGGACCAGCATTACAGTGGGTACGTAGTTATCTAAAAACAGKAAACAGTTTGTACAAATAAATGATGTAAGATCTGAACTCTGTAACATTACATGTGGAGTTCCACAGGGTTCTGTACTTGGACCAAAGTTATTTTTTTTTATATGTGAATGACCTGGTAAATGTGTCAGGGTTGTTGAAATGTGTTTTATATGCAGATGATACCACATGTTTTTGGTATGGGTAAAGACATAGAACGTCTGTTGGAAATGATACAAACAGAATTTGTAAAAGTACAATCTTGGTTTAAACCTAATAAATTATTAAACTTGGACAAAACTAATTATATTATATTCAGTAATAGAAAGAAAACTGCCAATGTTTCGTTTAGAGTCGAGGGTGTTGAGATTTGTTTGAAGTTTTTAGGTGTCATCACTGACGAAAAACTGACATGGAGACCTCAATTTAAGAACAAATACAGCTATATCCATTGCAGTATTGTACAAAGTAAGGGAGTTATTTAATGATAAAGCACTGTTTATTCTATATAACACAATAATTGTTCCACACTTGATACATTGTATTGAAGTCTGGGGGAAAGCATGTAAAACAATTACAAATGCTATTTTTAATTTTGCAGAAGAGAGCTATAAGAATTATCATTAGAAAACACTACAGTCACCCATCAAATACATTATTTTATCAGTTGAAATGATTGAGGTTTTATGAGTTGGTTGATTATATTTTGCAGATAATGTATAAGGCTCATAAAAATGTATTACCTTTGACATCCAATCACATTTTAAGAGGGAAACTAAAATTTGAATAAATTTAAAGGACAGACGTACTTCAGTCCAGGGAGAATAATTATGGAATACTCTGGATAGTGATTGTAAAGATGCTGGCTCTATTAATTTGTTTAAAAGAATGATAAAAAAATAATTTGTTAAAGAAATATGAAATCGTATAGTTTGTATTTGTAAGAGCTGCTGTTTTGTTATTGTTTGAGATATATATATATAT